TGTTTCCCTCCTTCTCCGTGCCAGGTACAACAATCAGTGGATGGTGGTGGACTACAACGCCTTCACGCCGGGGAGAGCGAGCCCGCCGCAGGGCGTGCTGACCGTGCTGGAGCAGATCCCGTGAGTACCCCCGTTCTTCCCCGAGTGCTGGCTACTCCGCTGAGCCATGGTGGAAGCGTTTCTTCCCAGAGCCCCGTCCCCACGGATTTTTTGGTCCTAAGGGTCCCATCTGCCCCAGCGCAATGGGTGGGAGTTGGGTGATGGGGATGCAAATGCAGGCAGGAGCTGCCTGCGCTGCCAGCCTGCAGCTGAAGGCTCTCGGGGATGCTTGTATGCAGGTGATGGGTGCCCGGCGCCCCTGCCTGGGGTGGGAATGGGACCCCCAGCTGGGCTGCCCCCCTTCCCAGCACGTCCCCCCGTCCCCGCTTGATTTCACCATCTGCCCTGACCGATGCTCTTCTCCCAGCGCAGGGGCCTGGTGATGGCGGCCGATCAGACGGAGCTGCTGTACCAGCAGGGCTACTGGGCCAGCTACAACGTGCCGTGAGCTCCGTCCAGCCTCATCCCACCCTACTGGTGCCCCATAGAGGGGGGGCAGCCAACGCTGGCCTTGCCCCCCGCCGTTGGGTGCTGACTCGCTGGGTCCCCCACCCCAGGTACTTCGAGGAGATCTTCAACGCCAGCGGGAACCTGGAGCTGGTGAAGAAATACGGTGACTGGTTCACCTACGACAAGAACCCGCGCGCCCAGATCTTCCGCCGGAACCAGACGCTGGTCCGCGACCTGGACTCCATGGTCCGCCTGATGCGGTGGGTGCTGGGGACCCCCCAGACCTGGGTGTGTGGTTCCCCCCCCCCAGGGATTTGCAACCCTTGGGGGTGATTTTTTTCATCGTTATAAATTTATATACATTTTCTTTCCCTCCCCACCTTCACCGTGACTCCCGCTTGGCCACTTCACAGGTCCAACAACTACCTGCGGGACCCGCTGTCACGGTGCAGGGGCTGCGACCCCCCCCAGAACGCGGAGAACGCCATCTCCGCCCGCTCCGACCTCAACCCCTCCAACGGCACCTACCCCTTCCCGGCCCTGCGCCAGCGCTGCCACGGCGGCACCGACATGAAGGTGGAGGAGATGGGGTGGGACTGGGGGGGAGCTGGAGGTCCCCTCTTTGGGGGTGCACCCCCCTCCGACAGCTCCCCCTGGGCTGCGTTTCCCCTTCCCTGTGTTGATTTGCACCCCTGCTTTTTCTTCCCGCTGCCCCCCAACACCAGGTCACTTCCTCGGGCATGGCCCCCACCTTCGGGCTGGTGGCCGCCAGCGGTCCCGCCTGGGACGACGTGCCCCCCTTCCGCTGGAGCGCCTCCCCCTGCAGCACCCTGCTGCACATGGGCCACCCCGACCTCTGGACCTTCCCTCCCATCAAGGTCCGCTGGGATTGAGCGGCCGCCGCCGGGCTGAACCTGTCCGTCTGTCCATCTGCAGGCATCCGTCCATCCGCGGGCGTCTGTCCCGCGTGGGGACCCCTTTGGGGGGGCAGCGCTCCTGGCTCTTCCCTTGTCTGCAGGGGGCCTGGCTTTGGGTGCAAGGGGGGGGTCCCCTGCACCCCCAGCTCTTTCTGCTTCTGCCTCTCGCTGCCGCATCCCTGCGGCGCCGGCTGTGCTGCGCAAGGGGCCGTGCCCCCTCCCCGCCCGGGGGCTCCGGCCCCGGGTTCAAGCCTGGTACAGGGGGGGCTCTTCCCAGAAAAGGGGGGGTTCCTGGGAGGCTGGGGCTCGCCCACGGGGCAGAGAGGATGGGAGTGAGCTGGTTTGGCTGTGACAAATAAAGCGGTCTGGGTGCAGCGGAGGTGGTGGCTGTGCTTTGTGCTCTGCTGAGATTCTCTGGTGTCTTGTATAAGGGTTGGGCTCACGCGGCGGTCTTCTCCCCTCAAATTAACGGGGTGCTCCCTGCTTCTCCGCTGCTTCCCACTGGGAGAGCGTGCAGCCAGCCAGGCCGGGCTCTTTTGGGGTGCAGGCTGCTAAGGTTTCTTTGCTGCTGCATCAGGCTGGGTACCCGGTGTGGGGCAGAGCTGCTGAAAGGGGGAAGCCCAGGCTGTGGGATGGAGGGGGGAGGTCCCAGCGCTCGCCCCCCAGGACGGGGTGACCGTCCTCATCCCTTTTGTCTTCCCCTCCTCTGCCACCTGTGTCCCCCCAGCCCCGAAACCCCCATTGCAAAATCCTCTTACCTCAGCTCCCTTGATCCGCTCTGCCTCGTTAGGAATAACGAGGTCATTACTGGGGGATTAATGAGCTGGTGCTCGGCAGCGCTTTGAAGGCGCCAGGTTCCCACCAGGGCTGGGGGCCCCTGCAGCTCCCTGGGGGCTGCGCGGGGCTGGGTTGCAGCAGGTTTGGGTTGTTGGGGTGCCAGCACCCCAAAAGCTGGGATGGGTGCCCTGGAGAGGGAGGGGTGTCCAAAACCTGCTGTGCTGGGGGGGGTGAGGGGGTTGCAGGTGAGGTGGCAGAGCCTGTGCTCGTGTCCCCTGCTGTCCCCAGGGAAAGGGGTGCTGGGGGGGGTCCCTGTGCCTCAGTTTCCCTGGGGAGGAGGAGGTCACTGCCACCCAGTGACAGGGCAGCGAGGAGGGACGGGCACATCGGTGCCAAGGACGGGGCACCCTGGAAACGCAGCGGCGGCTGCGTTGCTGCTTCCCTTTGGTTTTTTTTTTATTTTCTTAAAAGCAGACAAACAAACAGAAATGGTTAAATACCACCTCCGCTGCTGCAGCCAGCAGCTGAGGCCATGTCACCCAGGGACCCTGGCCAGGGGACGTGACCGGGTGACAGCCTGGCATCGCCTTCCCCAGGACAGGGATGCAGCCAAGGGGGAGACGGGGAGGGGGGTGTGGGGTGGAAAAGGACCCCAGAGCACCCCAGGGCTGAGCCGAAACATGGTGCCCTCGCCGAGGGGGTCCCCAGCCTCCTCCCTGTGAGTGGGGGGGGGCGTCTCGTCTACGCGCCCTTCCCCCCCCCCTCCCCACGGGGGGGGGGGGGGGTGTCGCTCCATGGGCCCCCAGGGGAGCTGGACCTCCTGTGCCTCCCCCCACCGTGGTGTCCCCATTCAAGAAATCCTCATTGTCCCCCACATTTCCAGTCCCTGATGTCCCAAAAGCAGCGTGGCTCAGTGCAGAGGCACCTGCTCTCTGCAGGCAGTGCTGTGCCTCTGTGCTGACACTGCCTGTGCTGTTCACTCTGAAGCCTAATGATGGTGTAAGCACCAGGGGGGTAGTTCATTCATTGCCACTAAAGGCCAGTCCCCTCAGGGACAGGGCTGTTCTGGAGCTTGTGCCCTGCTTGGTGCCTGTCACCAGGGGGGCTTTGCAGCGCCCTTTGGGTCAGGGGACCGAAATCTGGTATTCCAGGGCCTGTTTCACTTCTCTCCACCTGGCAGTGGGACAGAGCTGGGGAGGGAAGAGGGGGGTTCCCAGTGCACCTCTTTCGGTGGTGTCGTGGCTGTGTCTTGTGTGTGTGCCAGCTCGTGTGCCGCAGGCCCCCCTTGGGACCCCGGTGGAGCCACCACGGAAGGGGACGGGACTAACCTTGTGCCAAAGGGCCCTGCTTTCAGACACTGCCAGGGAGAGACCTTCCTCCAGACACCACCTTCCTCCTCCTCGCCTGTCCAGAACAGAGCCAGCCCCTCTGTGCAGAGGTAGGGTACGTGCTGGGGGGACCCTTACCCTGGCGGGTGTCACCAGGGCTGGGTGACAAGAAGGGGTGTCCTGAAGGAAAGGGGGGGGCTCTGCCTGCTTTGCCTGGGGGTCCCTGGGTGCTGCTGGACCTCGGGGCTCAGCCGGGCTCTGGCTGGGTCCCTCCGGGACCTCCATCTCCAAGGGATGCTCGTGGGGCACTTGCACAAGCCGTGCAGGGACCATTCCCCCCCAGACCCCTCCTGCCTGGGGGGTGCCTGCCTTGCCCAGCCGGGGCTGGGGGGGTCTCGTCCTGGGGGCCTTACCCAGCCGGCAGGGCTGAACCCCCTGGGGACACGCAGCTCGGAGAGGGGCCCGGGGCTGCCGCGGAGCAGGGGGCTTGGCGGGGCAGGCATAGGGGTGCGATGGCTCATTTGGAGGTGATGGGGGGGGTCTCGGCTGCCTGCCAGGGATTTGGGGCGCACAGGCTGCCCTCGCTACCCCAGGGGTCCGGGTCAAATGGGCAAAGTCCTCATATCCACTGGGACATGTTTCTGGCTGGACCCGAGAAGAGCCGGTGGTTGTGCCCAGCTGGCGGGGGCAAACCCTCGGGGACCCCCAAAGTCATATGGGAGCTGCCTCTCCTTTTCCCCCCGTCTCCTGGGTGCCCACATCACATCCCCTGGGCATGCGAAGGCTGCTGGGATTTGGCTGCCGGGGCCGCACGTGGCTGTCCCCGCCAGGGCACCCGGCACCGTGCCCGGACCATGGCTGGGTGCTTTCGGCACAGATCCAGCCCCATGGTTGGAAAAACCCGCCTGGTGCTGAGCAAACAGCCGGGGCCAGGGCAATGTTTAACCCCTGCCCCTCGCCCCGCTGGGCCACTGGACACGGGGACCTGGGGACACCGCCACGGCCCCTCCGACGTCTCCTCTTCCTCCTCTGTCCCCAAACTCTGTTGCGGCTGCGGGCGAGGAGCTGGGGACACACAGCGAGGCCCCACGGGACACCAGGTAATCCCTGCTGTGGGGTGGCCCTGGCTCAGGGGACAGGGTGTGCGGGGGACACCTGGGGACACTGGGGGCTTGGGGACCAGGAGGATGCAGGAGGGGGTGGCCCAGCTTGCCAGGGCAGGGAGGGCCCCTCGCTGCGCCCCAGTGCTCGGTGCTGCTGCATCCCGGAGATGGGAGGGGACGCTGGGGACAGCCTTGTCCCTCCTGAGGGGCTCCTGTGCCCTGTACCGAGCCCAGGACGGGCAGCAGGGCCACGGGGGGGGGGAACCCTCGGGGAGCAGCCGGCGGCTCCCCCACCTCTCCCTGGCAGAGCATCCATCGCCAGGGCCATGGCAGCCCCGTTCGGCGGGGGCAAGAAGCCCTTCCACATCGTCTCGCCCGTCCTGGAGAGCCTGCCCCTGTCCAAGGCGGCGGGCACCAAGGTCTACATGAAGCTGGAAAATGTCCAGCCCACGGGCTCCTTCAAGATCCGCGGCATCGGCCACCTCTGCCAGGAGGTGAGCGTGGGCACGCGTGGGCTCGTGCCCTTACGGGGGGGACGGCGGGGGGACACAGCCATCCCCTTCCCTCCTTCCCTCCTGCCTTTCAGGCTGCCAAGAAGGGCTGCCGCCACTTCGTTTGCTCCTCAGGTAACTGGGGTCTAAACTGAGGGGGGGGAGCTATTGGGGATGCTCATGAGAAATACGGGGGTGCAGGGAGGGATGAGCCCTGCCTGACCCCTGCTTTCCTCAGGGGGTAACGCAGGTCTGGCAGCGGCGTACGCGGCCAAGAAGCTGGGGATGCCAGTCACCGTCGTGGTCCCCAGCACCACTGGCACCGCCACCGTGCGCAAGCTGGAGGAGCTGGGGGCGGAGGTGGAGGTCTCTGGCCAGGTACCCCTCCAGCAGCCCCCCAGAACTGGGGTCTGGGGGTACCAGAGGGGGCTGAGCCTGAGCTCAGCCTGCTCTGCGATGCCGGGGATGTGCATGGCAAACCCCATCCCGAAATGTCCCCCACCTGCATCCCCTCCACCCGGCATTGCGGCAGGGTCACCCCGGGGACCCCCACCTCAGCCCAGTGCCCCGCGGTGACAAGGGACCCATCTTCGGGGTGCAAGGGCTGGATGTGGCCCCGCTGAGCCCCCATTGCCCCCCCCAGGTGTGGGATGAAGCCAACAGGCGAGCCCTGGAGCTGGCACAGACCGAGGGTTGGGTCAGCATCCACCCCTTCGACCACCCCTTGGTGTGGTGAGTGCTGCCAGGGCTCAGCTCCTGCCCCCGGTCCCCATCCCCGGGGTCCCGGCTGGCTCCGGGTGCCCCCGGGCCACATCCTCCCACGCCGCCTCGCCCTGCAGGCAGGGTCACGCCAGCCTGGTCCGGGAGCTGAAGGACTCGCTGGAGACCAAACCGGACGCCATCCTGCTGGCAGTGGGCGGCGGGGGGCTGCTGGCGGGGGGCGGGGGCGGGCCCCCGACATCACCAGGTGAGGTGGGCTTTGTGGGAGCGGCCATGCGTGCAACGAGTTGGCGGGTCTCAGCCCAGCTCACTGAAGGGTCCCGGGACCACCCTGACTGCCTTCCTCCCCTCCTCTCCCAGCGTGGCCAAGTGTCTGGGAGCCAAGATGGTGGCGGCACGGGCGCTGGAGTGCGCCCAGGAGTGCCAGGTCATCTCCCAGGTGGTGGAGGACACGGAGGCTGTGCGAGCCGTGGAGCAGTTCCTGGGTGAGCAGGGTCCAGCCAGGCATGGCAGGGGCGAGAGGGACACTACCGGCTCTTGGGACTGGTCTGGGACTTGCCAGAGTCAGGGGGCTGATGGGGACGGGGTGGGCGGGCGGCTCAGGGTGTCCCCCCGCTTTGTTCCCGCAGACGACGAGAGGATGCTGGTGCAGCCGGCGTGTGGGGCCGCCCTGGCCCTGCTCTACACGGGGCGGCTGCAGCGGCTGCAGCGTGAGGG